TTATTTTTTTTAATTTTTTAGCTAATGTATGACATGTTTTCAATTTTACTATAAAATGTATTGTTGCTAATTTTTTTTTATAAAAATGTGGTGATGGTATTTTTACGGTAAAAATGTATTTTTCTACTTTCCTAGTGTTTTGATTTTGGTTTGGGGGTTCAATATTTGCCCATAGCTGGGACCCTAACAGGTGCTAATACCTCGTTCAATGCTTTGATTATATTTATCAAAATAACTGTGCGTTTATTTTTCAAATGAGTATGCATAAAATAAAGTTTGAAGTAATAAAAAAATGGCATTTGAAATAAATCCATTAATCCTTTTTATTTAAAATATATATTGTAAATAAACACACACACACACACACAGACATACACACATATATGTGTGTGTCTATTTACAATATATATTATATATAATAACGTTTCTAGTATTAAGAAATTATGTCGGATAAAAATCAAATCCATTAATTTAATTCCTTATAATTATATACATATATATATATATATATGTGTGTGTGTGTGTGTGTGTGTGTGTGTGTGTGTGTGTGTGTGTAAGGAATTAAATGTGTGTGTGTGTATGTAGGTATAAGGAATTAAATTAATGAATGTGATTTTTAATCTGACATAATTTCTTAATACTCCAAACGTTATTTTGTGGATACTCATATTTGAACAGACGCCCATTTTTTTATAAAGAGTGTGAATTAGGTTTAGCGGACTTCTTTTATTTAGTCACCTGAATATGCAGGCCGATAAGCATAATTCACATTGTTTATAAGCTCAAACATCAGTACACACACACACACACACACACACACACACACACACACACACACATATATATATATATATATATATATATATATATATAGGTTGACCCAAAAGTAATGATCTGTTTATTCCTTAACTTTTATTGAACAAAAATAAATTAAAGTAGGAAAAGAAAATTTGTAAGTATTGTGACATGGAAACAACATGACGTGTTATAAAAAACAACTAATTCGTGGACTTTCTCCGACGTATGAGGGTCCTAGGAACCGACAGCCCAGACACCAGCGCATATGATTTGATTACAGTGGTGAAGGCTTTGTGCAGAACCAACCACACTTTTTGAAGGGTCGAATAAACAGACCTGGGACATTACGTGCCACAAAGTCCCCAAACGACCATCCGCAGGTTTTGAATTCAGAGTTCTCCTTTTCCTAGAGTAGTTGACATCCAAGGCTATAGAACCCAGTCTGCCCTGCCAATTACCCATAGCTGGAGGGAGAAGAAGAAGATTCATACCTTTCCCAAGGGTATTAGCACGTAAGTGAATGTAATGGATTTGACTGGAATTCGAACGCGGCTCTCCGATTCCTCAATCCAAGCCGCGATCCACGATTACACCGTACCTCCCCAGCAACACTTCTAGAACCTATATTTGTCATATATTTACGCAACACATACACACACACACTTTCACACAGACACACACTCATATATATAAATATATATATATATGTTTCTAAAGAATCAATGGATTTTTATGCTACGTAATCCTACGTAATGTGTTTAAAAACAAAAAAAAATGGCATCTATTTCAAACACGGGTATCCACTAAAAATAACGTTTGAAGTAATATATAATATATATATATATATATATATATATATATATATATTGTTTGTGTGTATATATAAATATATGTGTGTATATATATATATGTGTGTGTGAGTGTATATGTGTGCGTGCGTGTGTGTGTATATATATAAATATATGTGTGTATATATATATATATGTGTGTGTGTATGTATATGTGTGTGTGCGTGCGTGTGTGTATGTGTGTGTGTGTATATATAAATATATGTGTGTATATGTGTGTGTATGTGAGTGTGTATCTGTGTGTGTGTGTGTGTGAGAGAGAGAGAGAGATAGATAGCGATACCTCTTCTCCTACACCCGTGGTGCCAAAATGTTGCCGAACCGTCGATGTTAATATTATTCCAGAGTAAATAATCCCGCCATTAATTTCACCGTAAGGAACGACATTTTGTTCAGTTATCGCAAGGTCACCAGCGCTAACGCTGACCGCCATGAAATGAAAAACTTATAATTTCATGTTCACGCTCATCCTACTGTCTGGACGAATTCAAGAAAGGAGAGTTTGTTTTATTTTTTTTTTTTTTTTTTTTTTTTGTGTGTGTGTGTGTTGCAGGATATTGGTGGTCTTAAAATTTATTTCATTTATTTCTTTCTATTTTTTTTTTTTTGTCTTCAAGCAAATGAGAAAAGAAGTCTTACCTTGACATTCAGCTTCATCGTTCCAACTTCCGTCGGATTGACAAACTAGAATCGCAGGTCTTCGCTTTGGTGACAATCCATGACGACACAAATAAAAAACACTGTCTCCTTCGGTGTAAGAATTACCAATAAGTTTTACGTTTTCAGGTTTGCGTACCACTGGAGGACCACACACAGCCTCTGTGGAGGAGGAATAAAAAAAAAAACAATAACCTTTGAGTTGTGAGATTTTTTTTATTATTAATTTTGGACTCTTAGATTGTGTTTAATACCGTTTTGGAGAACGAAAGCAATAATGAAAGTATCGTCCTAACTATTAATTATACATGGCAGTTAAGACTGAATTTTGACTGAACACAAAATTGTGGATTGACAAGGACATATCTCTACAAACCGACCGCAAAATCCTGAAAGAAACAATTCAATATATATTTCTTTTTTTCTGTTGCCTCATGTCACATCTTCAACTGGGAGGAAATTGTCCAGCATTCACTACCATATATGAGGAGTGATATTACATAACAGTTAAATATATATTTCTTTGTTTCTGTTACATTAAATCTTTTCTTAACCTGTGAGAAAATTATCCACCGTTCACTGCCATATAGGAGGATTATTATTACATAACAATTCAACATACATTTCTTTGTTTCTGTTACCCCATGTCTCCTCTTCATCTGGCAGGAAATTGTCCAGCATCCACTGCTATATAGCAGGATTGTTATCACATAACAGTTTAACATACATTTCTTTGTTTCTGTTGCCTCGTGTATCCTCTTCATTCTCCAGTATTCACACTGCCGTATAGAAGAACCGATATTGCATAGCAGTTCAGCAGTCTTTTATTTATTTCTAATTAAATTCTCCTATTTCTTTATACTTTGCTTAGCTTTTGGAAGACATCTTTTTCTTTCCCAATGCGCCTTTGGATTTCGGTGTTGCACTGTTAAACACTTCCTAGACATTTAATTTAGTGTCACTAGCAATTTGGAGTTTGTGGCTTTTCCAAATACAAAACTGTTTGGTAAGAGAATTTAATGATTTTCTATTGTCCCCTTTCCTTAAATACATTATGTCTAACATATTTAAGACAAGAGTCTGAATTTTGAAAATTATATAATTTTTAAAAAAAATTACTCCCATGGCTTTCTTCATCTGGGAACTGAAGGAATAATTAATAAACTAAGTTTGGTTGAAAGAAACAGAATCATATCAAATGCCCAATATGAATTATCATAGTAACCATTTTCTTTCTATAAATATTATATTTTAATATATTTTATTGTAATATGTTATTTATATATACACAAATATTTAAGCACATGCTCTATTTATAATAAACAGTATTAACAATATTTACCAGCCTGAACGTCCGAGAAATTTCATAGAAAATAGGCGTCCTCCGACAGGAATCAAAACTGTATCTTACACGGAACCGTCATATAGCCTGACGTGCTATACGTGTTTAGCTACGAAGGAGCGTCTGATTAGCAACGTCGATTTTACTGCTTTTAAACTATTAAATTCCCATGATTTCGCTCGAGCAGATATGGACGTTCGAGGAAAATCATAAAATTATATAAAAAAATCTGTCAGATTAATAATAAAATCCATTCTGACATATATACATATATATATATATATATATATATATATATATATATATATATATATGTATACTGCAATTTAGAAGTTTGGAGCCACCCTCAGAATTAGCATGGTCTGAACTTGACAGAAGAGTAAAAAAATATGAAAATGATCAGGTCTTTACTCCCAACGACTGAAGCAGTCGAAGGGCTGATGCTGCTGCTGCTGCTGCTGATGATGATGATGATGATGATGGGCGATTAATCTTAAATTTAATTTGACTCTTATTTTCAGAGTATTAAGCTTTATTAATGATTTTTAATTAAACTTACTTGGTGGCTGATAACATCCGGGTGCTGTACCGTTCCAATAAGCATCGGCAGTGCATTGAATGACCGTTGGTCCGTCCGGCATCATTCGTCCATAGCAAGCATATTCAACAATATTTCCATAATGATGACCTTCTGAATGGATAATCAAACCCTCGTAAGGAGGCTCTGGTGGATCGCCACACGACACAGCTAAAGAAAAAAAAAAGCAAAGAAAATGAATATTGCTGCTTTCATATATTTTTATTGGTTGTTCACTAATTCTAGTTAACTTTCCTACAAATACCCTTGAAAGATGTACTTGGAGGTGAATGACATCATATCACGTCGGTTTGACCCAAATAACGTGTGCGTTAAGGAATAAAAGTTTATTCTTCTTGGTTTAATTTCCCCCATTATTAGCAGCATTATATTCATAGCATAATACATTACTTCAGGTACGGAACGGAATGGCTGAAAAAAGAAAGATGACAAACGTGCTTGGTCCTCAGAAAGAGTTTTATACGACTAAGTCATATACAAAATAATAATAAAAAATATAACACATATCTACGCAACAAGTAGTGTGAAAAAGGGTTCGAAAAACGATAGGGTCTTACATATAATATGGAGATTTTTCTGTGTTTCTGGAGAATCCATATTTATGATTCTACATTCGAGCTGGCCAGGTTTATCTGCGATGTCCCTAGCGAGAACGTATTCCGCAAAGGGGAAAACAGCGAGTCTTGCGGGTTTTTTTTTTTTTCCCAACATGAGGATTGTGAGCCGGAGATAGTTTCTTTCTATATCTGGGGAAGATATATTCTCAAAGTGAAACGGCGCCTTGGCCTTATAAGCTGCACCACGTGACTGAGGCAGATCTAGCCTCAATCCGGGCCGAGGGACCCGAGCTAAGAAAGCAACTGCTCGGTTTGACTCCGGGAAACTGACTGGAGGACTGCCACTTTCATCATTATGCAGTGATGTCATTTAGCGGCCGTCGCGTAAATCATCTCGAGCATGGGGGAGAATATTCTTTTGTATCCCTACATCATTAATTCATCTCTTCTCCCGGCTCTAACAGGCAAACAGTCTAGTTTTGGTTGGTCACCAGTATTAAAAGAAGGAAAACTGGGGCTATCAATTTCCCTGTGTAAAAATTACTTGCTATGTAAACCACTGCAGCAACACATACTGCAGTGAGGCTTCGTTCTTATCATCCATGTAGGAATCTACATATAACAGCGGAATCGGCGATCCGCGTTCAAATTGTGTCAAGCCTGTTTCTTTCACTTTACACTAATGCCCACGGGAACGGCATGAATCCATCTCTTCCTCTACTAACAGCGTAGAATTGGCTTTTTAGCATTGGGTGACAGCCAAGACATGAAAAAGAATACTCAAAATTCAAAACCCTGGAGAAGGAACGGGAAACAAAATCACAAGATAGTCGAAAAAAAATCAAAAAGAAAAGGTTCAGCATTAAGAAAGAAAGAAAGAATGCATAGTGGTAAGTAAAAAGACCGACCTAATCTTGAATCGGATTGGTGGGACCCTCATTACATAATGGTTAAGAGAAAAAAGACACAAAATCTTGGCACTAATATTGTTTTAACACTGTCTCTGGTCTCTGGTCCCAAATTAGAGCCTGTGTTAATGTGTATAAAATAGACCAAACCCGGATATAAGAGAAACCCGGATATAAGAGAGATTTTCTCTCATCCTAAAGTGTTCCCATACTTACCTAAACAAAATAGACCGAACCCGGATATAAGAGAAACCCGGATATAAGAGACTTCGTCTCCGGTCCCGACAACTCTCTTACATCCGGGTTACACTGTATAATATTTTATTTACTTTTTTTTAATTCTTCTTTGAATTTATTTTTATATATTCACACATTATTTTTGTAATTCGATTCAAATTTCAATTTTTCCTTGCTCACGATTGTTGCCAACTGGCTGAAGGTCCAAGTAAGAGTGACAAGAATTAAAAGAAAAAGTTATAATTTAATTATTTTATTTACAGTGTTCCAATGTGATATGGACGTAAGCCTGTTCAAGCATTTGTCACACTAAAGTTTCAATTCAGCGTTGTTTTCATTATGAGTTTTCAAAAATTTCACCTATTTCTTTCTAATTGTTATGTATTGATTGATTCATTTTCTATGGTTTATCAACCCTTTGCAGGTTATTTAAAGCCAGAAAATATTTTTTTAAATTTAGATCTTTTTTTAGATTTACAGTGTAACCCTGATATAAGAGAAACCCGGATATAAGAGAGATTTTCTCTGGTCCCAAAGTGTTCCCATACTTACCTAAACAAAATAGACCAAACCCGGATATAAGAGAAACCTGGATATAAGAGACTTATTCTCCGGTCCCGACAACTCTCTTATATCCGGGTTACATTGTATCTTTTTTTAGATAATAGTGGTTTAGTGATACAAGTATACAAGTCTTACTAATTAACCCCTATCTGGGGAAGAAGAGATTGATCCATATTTTTCCCAAGCAATTTTGCACGTAAGTCAGTTATGTGCCATGCGTGATACACGCTTAGGCGATCATGTATCTTTCGATACATGACTGACAAGGTCAAATTTTTCCTGCAGTAGATTGCCATTTCTTTCTGCGGTAGACAAGTTGCTATCCAAGGTTATAGAACCCGGTCTGTTCTGCTATTTACCCATAGCTGGGGGGGAAGAGGATTCATACCTTTCCCAAAGTTTCACGTAAGTGAATGTAATGGATTCGACTGGAATTCGAACTCGCCTCTCCGATTCCTCAATCTGAGTCGCTATCCATTACTTCTCCTACGTGAATCTAACGAACCCAAGTAACAATTCTGAGCCGTTATACGTTACACCACCCGCACACCCAAGATTACAGCATCTGGTAAGTGGCCACCAATTTACTTAAAATCGAAAAATATTTTTAAATTGCAAGAATATTTTGGAGATAATAATGCTTTAAAGATAGACGTTCTACTAATTAACCCATAGTTGGTGGAGAAATGCTGGATTCATGCCTTTTCCAAGTGTATTTGCGAGTAAATGTATAGAAAGAACTCGAAAGGAATTGGAAATCGGAGAGCCGTGTTCCAATTTCAAGCAGTTGTCCAGTACAACAATACATATCCAAGATTACAGACCCCTTGATATTCGCAAAAAGTAGTCAAAGAAAAGGCTCGACGTTGCTTAACTTCATTGAGTGTACGGGATCTGGAGTTTCAACGTGAGGCGGTCATAAGCCACTTTTTTTCCTAAAGACAAACACATATTACGGTCCTAGATTATTGTCACTTTATTATATCATTTCCATGCATCTAATAAGCTACTCTGACAACTTCTGTTCTTCCAGATTAGGGTGGGGACGGCTGTAACAGCTCTTTGGACACATCCTACTAAACAGCTGACTAGTTTGTAGAATGCAGCCGGGATGTGAAGACAGTTTGTAAGCTTGCTACGCAATAAAGTTGTGTTGACAGAGATGGACATCAAAATTCTCCTTCACCCTCCCTACAGCCAGCGACTTGCAGAGGTTTGGTGATGCCTGGGGCCAATTCCTTGATTGTATGCCCCTAAGGCTCAAGTAGAGGGGTTATAGGGCCTAGTACTGAGAAATATGAGAAAGGAAGACATTTTAAATATGTAATAACAGATGAAACATTAAATAAACACTTTATTTAATTTTTTATTTCACTGTTTGATTGGGTGCTCTACAGATATATGACCCCCAGGGCTGTTGCCCCTCCCTATTCCTCTAATTCTGCAAGCTACTGTCTATATCCCAGAGCTTGCTCGCTGTGAATTTTGGTTGTTCCCCAAGCCGAAGGAGAACCTCAGGGGTTGTTGTTTTTGAAGACATTGATAAGATGAAAGAAGTTGTAACAAGCGTCCCGGACAGTTTCATTTTGGATGACTTCCGTTGGGTCATTTATTATTTCCTTTGATTTCTGGGTCCCAACCAGAATGCTAAGGTCAGAAATGGCATATATTTTCCACAGAAAAATTTTGAGCACACACATTTTACATTGATAAATCCCTTTGTGAGCTGTACTTGCGAGAACAACTTTTTTTTTGTATTTCTTTAAGGCATGGGCAAACTAGGAATCCCTTCAATGAGTCTTGCAGAACATTTTCCAACCAAACCCAGGGCCCCAACCACAACTGGAATTGTTGATACCTTCATGTACCACATCTTTTTTAATCTCCACTTCAAGATTCTTCTATCTGGATAGTTTCTTTTAAGGTCTTCAAAAATGTCTACAGGAACTTGTTATGGGACCTTACCCATAATAACATAATGGACTATTCCATGCGTAATAAATACTGCGCCTCAAGAGGAAGCAGGGAGATCAGTCTGAAGTCAGACGACCGGCTGATCGGTTGAACTCTCAACCTTCGGGCGGGGAGGAACCCGAACGAGGCTACGCCGAAGGGCGGAGTCCCTTTCGGGGAGGTAAACCGAACCTGAACCCGTTTATACGGTTTTCAAAGGGTATATTTTTGGCCGAGCCCACGGGCTCGGAGATCCCACGTTAAACCGGCCTTGTGCCAAATGATGCCCTCGTGGGAGGGGGGGTGACTAAATACTGTTCAATCTGAAGTCTGGAGTGAGGTCCGTCAGGAGTCTGTCAGTCAGTCAGAGCGAGCGAGTCTGTCAGTCGAGTCAGAAGCAGTCCGAAACAGAGTCGCGTTCAGACAATTACTACTAAACCTAATTGTTCGTACTAACACTTTCTACTTCTCTGTATATATTCCTGTTTGTAATATATCTGTATTATTCCATATCCGTGTTCGAGTTCTTCTTTATTGATTCTACCTTGGACTATCACCGTGGTACAAGGACCTGGACCATAATAGAACTGCTATGTCAATAAGAAAACATATTGTGGTATTTTTATAAGCATTTCACAACAAGCAAGCCGGAAGTGCTACTAGTTACGCAAAGTGCTACAGAGAGTGAAAGTAAGGGAATAGATTGGGTATAGGGGGGATTGAGGAAAGGATAAAAAGAAGATTTGGGCGATCATGGTCCTCCCCAACTTTTTTTATATTGCTCTAAGTAGCCTTTGATTTCCCTACCATCCCACTTAGCCCTTGTTCTTCCATCCATTCACTCAAAATCGTTAAGTAAGTTATTAGCTGTTCATCTTGCTTTTAATATGTCCTGTGAGTCTCAAATTCTCCAATCCCTCTTTCTTCATTTATTGTTGTAGAAATTTCAGTTGTCTCTGACTGATAGCATCATTTTTCTTCTTTTTTTCCTGATCTTCTCAAAATGTCATCGTTATTTTCCAATGCTTTCCTATAGTAAAATCTTTTCCAATGCTTTGCTATAATAAAATCTTTTTCAATGCTTTCCTATAGTAAAATCTTTTCCAATGCTTTGCTTTAGTAAAATCCTTTCCAATGATTTCCTATAGTAAATCCTTTCCAATGATTTCCTATAGTAAAATCTTTTTCAATGCTTTCCTATAGTAAAATCTTTTCCAATGCTTTGCTTTAGTAAAATCCTTTCCAATGATTTCCTATAGTAAATCCTTTCCAATGATTTCCTATAGTAAAATCTTTTCCAATGCTTTCCTATAGTAAAATCCTTTCTAATGAATTCCTAGAAAGCATTTCCAGTGCATTCCTCTATTAATATTAATTTCATCATAACTATTAATATTATTTCTACCAAGGATATTTTTGATATCATACTTATTATAAAACCCAGGTTGTGTGTGTGTGTGTGTGTGTGTGTGTGTGTGTGTGTGTGTGTGTGTGTGTGTGTGTGTGTGTGTGTGTGTGTGTGTACGTTTATATATTGGATCGGATTTGCTACATTTTTCAACCGATTTCAACAAAACTTCACAGGACTACGTAAAATTACCTTGCGGTGGTTCTGACAGCGCCCAAAATTGGAAAAACACAATTGTTTTTGCACGAAATCAATTTGAAAACATTAAGAGGCATCACGAGAATGAAAGGGTGACAACTCATATCGAGTTATACTTATTATAAAAGCCAGGTTGGTTTGTGTGTGTGTGTGTGTGTGTGTGTGTGTGTGTGTGTGTGTGTGTATTTGTTTATATATGGGATCAGATTTCCTGCATTTTTCAACCAATTTTAACAAGACTTCACTTTTTTTTTGGCAGGTAGTGTTTTTATTGTCTTGCACAATTTTTTTTCTTTATTTTACATTCAGAATGCTTTAAAAATCCCATTTACAAGACAATTGTTTATAATAAAATTCTATTCAATCGATAGACTCATAACGATTGAAAACAATGTTTTTGTTTGAGTTTGGGTTTGACCAATTCCAAAAAAAAAAAAAAACTAATTAAGACATGCGCGTCTGTCAACTTTAAACAATAATATTTGTCAATTTCATTTTTCAGTCTTTATGATGGTCGATACTTGATCTATCTCTTACTGTTAGTACTGCTAGTTCTTACTATTCAAGAAATATGTATTAATTACGCTAATTTATCCAAATCAATTATTACATGCATAATATAAAAAAGGTCATAAAATACAACTAAATAAAACTTACGGTGACATTTCGGACTGGGGTTACTCCAAGTACCGTCTTTCAGGCAGAATGCCAACGTCGCCCCTTCTAAAATGTATCCCTTTTCGCACTTGTAAAACACCAAAGATTCTAGTGTAAACCTGGAGCCTATGTACATGACATGATCGTCTACCAACGGCCTACCACAGTCTTGCAATTCGCAAGAGGTATCGTCAATTGTCTGCCATGTTCCATCCATCTGGCACATAGATGTCGCTCTCCCAACGAGGATCAAACCCGTGAAGCAGGTATATTCAGCAAATGCACCGTAGGTGGTGCCATTCGGTAAACTGACCGACGCCCTGTTCAGCTTGCGTGGAGGTCCACAATCCACAGGTACGCACTTCGTATGAGAAGCTGACCATGTTCTGTTTGGCAGGCAATGCAATTCAGTTGGGCCATCAATTCTATATCCTCTGTTGCAAGTTACGATCACCTTCTCTTCCGAAGAATCCGTTTTCATGGTAGCGTACTGCAAACCCGGAGGGGATCCACAACTGGATTTTATACACTCCGGCATCTTACCGACATAGATTCCTGACGGGCCGCACTCAAGGAAATTAACATCTAAAAATTTATAGCCGCTTATACATATGTAAATTACTTTCTCGCCGTAAGCTAACTCTCCTCGCACTGCAATTGTGTTGTTTACAACTGGAGGATTGGGGCATTTTTTGGGGACGCAGGAAGGTTTCAAGCCAACCCACTTCCCATTTACACATGTTAGCCAAGAAGGAAATCCCGGCTTGATTCTGTAACCAGGATGGCATTTATACTGGGCTCTGTCGTCCTTATTTGAAAAGTATTCGATGAAGACTTGACCATGGGTAACAGTAAGATTTTCACATTTTAACTTCTCACAGAATGGATCTGCGCCACTCCAGGTTCTGTTGGTTAGGCATTGTCTGTTGGCTGGTCCATTAAGTGTGTAGCCAACTTTACAGTAATAAGAAATGAATGACCCTACTTTACGATTGATGCGGCTTATTTTACCGTTTTCAGGAGTCACCGCCGTTGGACAAACGTTCAGCACACATTTCGGCAATTCATTCGACCAGGTACCATTCGTCTGGCACATTTGCAAGGCGTTACCGCTTATAACATAATCGTCGTCGCAAAAGTAAGTGATCTGCTCACCATAGTTGAAGGTTTCGGGTAGTATAACACCTCCATTTTCGATGGGAGGTGGCTCTGGGCAAGAAATCGGTGCACATTCAGGCCAGGTCACATTCCACTCACCTGACGTTAAGCAATGCAGAATTTGCGCGCCTCGAAGTTGGTATCCAATATCACAGGAAATTTTTATTTTAGAATTAACTCGACCAGCCTCTCCCGCTAATAATTTTAAACTACCATTAGAAACATTGGAATTGTATTCACATCGATTTGGTTCACAGACAGGAACCTCTGAAATATTCCATTTACCATCCAAACCACAGTCTTTAATAGGATCTGTCGTGATGTTATATCCTTCAATACAATAATACGTAACTTGATATTCAGTTATTTTATGATAACCATTAGGTATAGAAGGCGGATCGCCACAAGATTTTCTTTCACAAGTAGGTGTGTCACCAGACCAGGTCCGGTCAGCCTGGCATGTTCTGTTTTCCTGTCCAATTAAATCGTATCCATCATCACATTCGTAATTCACGGTGCTGTTAAAAGTGAAGTTGGAGCCCAATTCAATTTTACCGTTAGCAATCAGTGGCGGATTCCCACAAGACACTGGCTTGCAATTCACCGTCGCTTTGCTCCAGTGACGAGTCGTCAAACAAAAAACTACGGCTGTTTTAGACCGCCCGGAATTTTCGAAACCAGGCAGGCACATAATTGTCACACGGCTCGCTATATTTCGACCCTGGCTCGAAATAAGGGCATTCGGTGGCACTACTAATTTTGGACAAGTGTGCGGTATACACACACTGTCCCCTATCCATTCACCATTGGAACATCGAAGAACTGGACTTCCTCTAGGCTGAAAGTTTCGTAAACACTTAAAAATGACCGTTGCTCCCGAATATCTTCCATGATTTTCGTCAACTAGGCCGTTTGTAATTGAAATTTCAGAACAATTAATGTGGACACATTCGGGCTCTTTTTCAGACCATTTATAAGGCATGACACATCTCCGCGTGGCGTCTCCTTTCAGAGTATAACCGGGGTTACAGTTATAAGTAATAGTCTTTCCCAGTTTATAAAGACGACTGTTGCTCACCTTGGTAGTTTTACTAAAGAACTGTTTGGCTTGAAGCGTCAATTCGGATGTCTTAGGCACCAAAACGTAACCATTTGGGATATCATTTGGCAAGACGCATGCGTACTGAATACAAGCTGGTGGCGTTCCGCTCCAGTTTAAATTTGATTTACAATGAAGCGAACTGTTCCAACGCAATCGGAAACCTTCATCACAAATCACGTAAACTTTCGTGCCGAGGAAACGTTTCTTTGTAGTTAAGGTCGCGTTTGGCGGTGCCTCAAGTTCAGGACATAACTGTTCGGTGCAATTCGGCAGTGATGTTGGTGTCCAACTGCCATTTTTCTGGCAGGTTAAAGTCGCATTTCCTTCCAATTTAAAACCTAAATTACAACTATAAATTACAAACGTTTCAAATGTATATTTGAAATATCTTAATTTACCATTGGCAATAGGAAGAGGTTCGGGGCAGGTATTTTTAATACATTTTGGAGTTTCTCCTGACCAGGTTCCATTCGCTAAACAAGTTCTATTTGGATTGCCTTTTAGCTTGTATCCGTAATGGCATTTGTAAGTTATGTTCTTGTTATATGTTCGAAGCCCTTCTACGGTTCCGTGAGATATTAAGGGGGCAAAAGCACAGTCTTTAGCGCAAAATGAGTCATTACTGCCAGACCAGGAACCGTTTGAGAAACATTGTCTTAACTTTGGACCGACAAGTGTGTAATAATAGTTGCAAGAAATGAACGCAGTCGTACTATCTCCAATTGTCTTAACAGTTGCACGTCCGTTTTTGATTTTAAGTTCAGGACATGCTTTCTTAGCTACTTCACATTTGGGATTAGAACCAGACCAGGTTTTATTCTCGGTGCACACGCGAGGATTTTTTCCTAGTAATTTGTAACCCGGATTACACCCGTAAGTAACCTCAGATTTATAAGACCTTTTACTATAATTACGGTATCCATGGGGGATTTCGATCGGATCTGGACAAAGTACCGGAAGACATTTTCCAGCATTTCCGCTCCAGGTTAGGTCACTTAAACAGATCCGGTCTCTGTCGCCGAGTAGATAATATCCGGTGCTGCATTTATATTTCACTACAGCACCAACACTTAAGTTTCCAGTTATTATTGATCCGTGGTCAATCAATGGCAGTTCATTGCAAGTCAGCGGAATACATTTGGGAGTATTACCGCTCCAGGTTTTATTAGCCAAGCAAATACGGGCTTCTTCCCCAATCATCTTGTAGTTCAGTAGACATTCATACTCAGCCTTGCGGCCAAATTCCAAACCAGATGTTCGCACAATGCCGTTTTCAATAGGCTCGGGCGAGGTGCATTTAATGGGGTTGCATATTGGGGGTTCTGGATTCCATAAAAGCGTCTCGTTACATTCCAGCGTTTTCGCGCCGCTCAAAATATAACCCGGCTCGCAAGAATAATTTACAGTGTTTAAGAAAAAGAAAGTATCCACTGTGGTGTTGAGATAACTATATTTCACAGTCGGAGGCGATGGACATTTAGCCGGAGTACACGTTGGAAGAGAATTTTGCCAAGTACCATTGCTGCTACACAGGATATCCGAGGTGTTAGAGATTGCATAACCAGGATTGCATTTAAAGCGAACAATCGAACCGTAGGTGTAATTGGCCGAAGGAAAATAACCGTTATCAATATCGTCTGGTTTCGGACAGCGTATAGCTTCGCAGCGCGGGGATTTACCGGTCCAACTTCCATTTTCTGCGCATTCTCGCTTACTCGCCCCGACCAATTGGAAGCCTATTTTACACTTGTACACAAGAATACTGCCGTAAGTGTTATTGGTCGCACTGATTTCCGCGTTTTGTACTCTTTCTGACTGCTTGCAGACGACAGGATTGCAGGTTGGTGCCTTCGGCATCCATTCCCCTTCCTCAAGGCACTCTAAAAGTTCGTCGCTTGAAATTTGGTAACCGGCGTCGCACGTGTATTCGGCCCTATTTAAATAATCGGTATCTTTGTAATAGACCGAGCCGTGCTTGATGGAAGGGGGTATGCCGCAATTGATAATCCCACATGCTGGAAGCGACTTCTCCCACAGGCCGTCTGGCAAGCAGCGAAGTGTACCGTCAGGGTTGGTTCCGTTCTGCAATGCGTAACCGAATTTGCATTGATACTTAACAGCGTCCCCCACATAATAATGCTGCTTCAACTTTTCCTGCAGATGGCTATTCCTGATTTCTGGCGGTACGCCACACAGAGTTCCATCGCAGGTTGGAATACTCTTGTCCCAAGTTCCGTCTGATTGGCACACGAGTTTGGAATATTCAGTAACCATTTTGTAGCCGATGGCACATTTAAATGTAGCTATAAATCTGGGCAGATATCTTGGATTTTTGTTCACTAAAATGGTGTTATTCGACACGAGTGGTTCCGAGCAGGTAATTTCTGTAAAACGAAACAAAAAAATTAAAATTAATATCATCATTACTAAATATTTTCACTGCATCAAAAATGAAATTATTATCGTTCCATCGTCATTGATCAAACCCTGAGTTTATCTCCAGTCATAATGAACTCTTTTACTCAGAATGAGACTCTATACTTTGAACGTTTATTGGGCCTCAATTGAAATCCATTTCTAAGGTTGCTGGAGAAAATAGACTCTCCAGAAAATACCTGACTGTATCTACCATGCTTTACCGTTTCAACAGTCAGTTGTCCAAAAGTGGCGTATTGCTACCATATCTGGGTTGAAGTTGCTCAATCTTCACCAATTTAAACTATTACAAAAGAGTTGACGCTGTCTCGTGGGAAAAGATATATTTTCCACCTCCCACAATCTCTTTCACACAGAGGCAACCTCGCAAGCTTATTGTTACTCTATCGATATTTCTATGGCATATGTTCAGATGAGTTCCCATTCTTTAGTTCCACGAGTTCATACTTTAATTGATAGGACACGATATGCTCCTTTCACGGAGTCGAACCACAGACTCAACACCGCAAGCCTTGTTTAACTATATCGCTATTTCTATGACAAATGTTCAGATAAGTTACCATTCTTTAATTGCACCAGTGTCATTGAAATGTGTTCGATTGTTTAATCTTTCATTAAAATGTGTTTGATTTATTTAATCTTTGATCTAAAATATCTTTTTTTTCTTTCTGTCGTTTAATCATTCATAAAAAATTATTTAATCTTCCATTAAAATGTGTTTAGAGATTTTTAATAAAATGTGTTTGACATTTAATCTTCCATTGGTCATTTAATCTTCATTAAATGACATTAAAATGTTTGGTTATTTAATCTTCCATTAAAATGTGTTTAGAGATTTAATCTTTCATTAAAATGTGTTTGGACATTTAATCTTCCATTAAAATGTGTTTGGTCATTTAATCTTCCATTAAAATGTGTTTGGTCATTTAATCTCTCATTAAAATGTGTTTGATCATTTAATCTTACATTAAAATGTGTTTGGTCATTTAATCTCTCATTAAAATGTGTTTGATCATTTAATCTTACATTAAAATGTGTTTGGTCAATTAATCTCTCATTAAAATGTGTTTGATCATTTAATCTTCCATTAAATTGTGTTTGGTCATTTGATCTCTCATTAAAATGTGTTTGGTCATTTAATCTTTCATTAAAATGTGTTTGGTCATTTAATCTTTCATTAAAATGTGTTTGGTCATTTAATCTTTCATTAAAATGTGCTGTATTCAATCTCTCATTAAAATGTGTATGTTTATGTACAGATAAAATTTATGTAGCATTAAAATGTGTAAACAGATAACATGTGCTGACGGAGAAACTAACATTAGGCTACGGGTATAAAATTGAGTAAAATTCTAGAAGAATTTTCAAAATTTGAAAGAAAAATCCTTGTAAAATTAGTAGAAATCCATGAATAGATTTGAATATGCATGCGATTTCCAGTAATATATAATAATATTCATAAAAACTTTCGTAACGATATGGAAAGTCCTCATGAGTAGAATCTTTTGCCATTTTGGCCAAGCTCGGTGATTATTATTATTATTTAAAAAGAAATGTTTTCTACTGACCTTCGCACGTGGGATCAGCATTACTCCATTCTCCGTTCTCCATGCAATAACTTGTATTTGCTCCGACCAATCTGTATCCTCGGTTGCAAAAATAACGGACCCGGTTATCGTAAGTAAATATACGGCCCTTGATGAAACCGTTCTTTAGCCGCTTGGGTTGGTTACAGCTCACCTCTAAAGAAGAACAAGATATTAAGTTGGTCCTTAAGAAATTTTTTTTGAGGAATCAATTATAATGACGAATATATCATCCTAACTACTAAACATACGTGGCAGTTCGTCATAGATTTTAAGTATGCTAACCTACTATACTTTTTTCACGATAAGGGCAGCGTACACAGCGGATAAAAGGGAAAATGTTGTTCACCATAATGAAAACACAAGGCAGTGCACAGCAACAGTAACACAGAAAAAAACTTTTGAAAATCTCTTCGCCCACTCACCATATTAATTTCATTAAGATTTTTATTAGCATCCTCGGTTTAATTCGTTGCATTTATTCGTTTTAATCGCATAAACGAGATTTTAATCGCATAAACGAGATTATTAGTTTGTTTTTTTTTGTTTGTTTTTTTTTTTTTTTACTCGTTAACATGTTTTAAACGTTTTATTATGATATTTTTTTTAAGCCCTCTTGGGTTAACTTGCTCTAACTTATTAATTGTTTATTTCTATTTCATTTTTTTTTTCTTTTTTTTATTCGTCAACATGTCTTAGATGTTTTATGTAATTTATAAGATCTCTCGGTTTTAACTCGCTGTAATTTATTTATTTCTTATACATACATTATTATTCGTAAAGTTTTAAAACGGTTTTATTTATAAGCACTCTCGGCTTGATTCGCTGTATTCTATTTATCAATTTCAATGGCTGTATTTTCTTATCTCTGTATATAGTAATTATTGCTGCTGAAATGAAACGTGAGGGGAAGTGGGTAAAAACGGAAAACATAATTACCTTCTAAGTATTCGATGAGGGGGTGTCCACCAAAAAAAAAAAGAAAAAGTAAAAAATTACCCGTAAGCAGCTTAAAAAGAATTTCCACCGTTGTGATTGGCTGTTGGTCAATCTCCAATCAAACGTGAGATTACGGGGTATATTTATAAAAGTCTGCGCAAACAAGCATTTTTTTGAGGGCGTTTCAGAGTCTGATCAGCTCTGAAGGGGTCGATTTGGTGAGGTCAGTATGATGTTTGAAAGACCCGAAACTGTCCAATGATCCTTTTCTAGAACATCACTGACGACGCCCTCTAGCGCTAAAAGAGCGTATATTAAAAAAAAGTATATATATATATATATATATATATATATATATTGACAGCATATTTTCATTCAAGCAGGTTTGGATGTATTATGTCTATGTATTTAGACGTAATATGTTTATTTATCTTGTAATCCTTTCAAATCCAGGAATTAATTTTTTGATGGCTGTAGAAAAATAATTTAAGAAAAATTCTAAAATTTTCTTTCAAATAATTTTTATTTTCCTAAGTATTTTCTATCTCATTTGAGACCATCTTCTGGGGTTGCATATCTATGGATGTGTTATGTGTTAACACTTTAAACTCAAAATACTTTTTCACCGTTATGCAAGGGAAGTAACTTATGTGATATTTTTTAATTGTAGTATTTTAAATTAGTATTTTTATATAACACTTTGCTGCTACAGGCATCAAGAACTTTGTTGCTATACTTGTAGTTGACATTATTCATACTTATATATTTATATATTTATATTTATATTTATACTTGTATATATGTATATGTGGATGTGTATGCATGCTTATATACACATGTATATCTGAATGTATGTGCGTATGTCTTCGTATATGTATGTATATCTTAGTGTCTTGGAATGTATCATCAATATTAACTAAAATCTACTTTTGTTTGATAATCGTTATATAATTGCTTATAGACTTTATAATCAACAATTGTGTCTCGTTACTTTTTAATATTGTATGAACTTTACCGTCCTTTATCGTCACTAAGCTAATATTGTTAGAATATGTGTAGATTTATGTATGTATATGCCTATATATATATATATATATATATGGTTGTGTGTATGTGTGTATATATATATTTATATATGTCTGTGTGTTTAAGCTTCCGTTTGTACGTGTTTTTTTATATATATATGCGATTGTTTGTATATGTGTGCATGTATGTATGTTTGTGTGTTTATATATATATATATATATATATATATATATATATATATATATATATATATATATATATATATATATATATATATATATATATATATATATATATATATATATATATATATATATATATATATATATATATATATATATATATATATATATATATATATATATATATATATATATATATATATATATATATATATATATATATATATATATATATATATATATATATATATATATATATATATATATATATATATATATATATATATATATATATATATATATATGGGGGTGTGTGTGTGTATATATATATATCTATATATGTGTGTGTGTTTTTGCGTTTGTACGTGTTTTATATATATATACGATTGTTTGTATATGTGTGCATGTATGTATGTTTGTGTGTTTATGTATATATATATATATATATATATATATATATATATATATATATATATATACTGCGTGCCAAATTATTATTGAGATAACTTTTTTCTAATATTTAAAAAACCGTCCAATCAATTCATACAGAATTTTCACACAATGTTGGCAACACTGACCTGCGCAATCACTGAAAATTTGTTACTGATCTGCGCAATGTAAACAAACTGGCGCCATATTTGTTATCAGCACGGTGATTTGAGCGTGCCAAATTATTAGAAAGGTTTAGTAAAATTCCCAGAATTGATCAAACAAAACGTTTATTAATGTTGCACGTGAATGTTTATGATCAAAAGAAGCTAATAAATAAAATAATCAAACAAATAATAACAGATACAAACAAAGGCACAGTTTTAAACAAATTAATAGGGAATGTGCTTAGCCTGTTTTGAAATTACATGAAGAAGTCGACGATCCATAGAATTTGTTAATTGTAGGATGTCATCTGCTGTAATGCTGCGAAATATGTCAAGAATTGCTTCACACAACTCAGCGTTGCTCTTCGCTTCATGATGGTCCAAAGGTTTTCGATTGGGTTCAAATCCGGAGAATTTGCTGGCCACTTCATTTTTCGAGGTCCATCGAAGCCTAACTTTTTCAAATATTCAGTAGTCCTGTGAGCAGCATGTGAGGAAGCATTATCTTGCATAAAATCAATGGCCCTTCTGAAGGCAACTCTTTGCCTTTACATCCACGGCTCAAGATGCTCCTTCATAAACGCTATGTATGCATCAGTCATTTTGACGCCATCTGGTTCTCTCCATGGGCCCACTAATGTTTTCCAATAATACCACCCCAGATCATTATGCCTCTACCGCCTTCTTGGCGTCTCAAACACTGATGGCGATTCTGTCCATTCATTACCCAGCATTTGCACCATCTATCTGGCCCATCAAGTGTTGCTCGAGTTTCGTCTGTGAACAAAACTCCCGAGAAGTCAATCTTCATATTGTCCTCGGCCCATTTCCATCGATTTTGAATGTGATTTCTTGTCAACGGAGGCTTCGATACAGGTTTGACTGTTGTTGCTATTTCCTTCAGATACCGACACCGCGTACTTTTAGACAAAGTAGGATCCCCAATGCGACTGAAAAGCTCTTGATTGGTAAGTCCAGGATTATTCGTGGCCTCTCGTTTGAGTCGGGAAATGAGATGACGTGAAATAACCCTCGGCTTGCCTGTATCTGCTCTATTGCGTACTTGTGTAGGGTCGGCGGTGAACTTTTTCACTCTTTGATGACACCTCCCTATCATTTTAGAAATTTCTAGGGTAGATTTACCTTTTGAGAGTTCGGAGGTGATAATTTTCTTTTCAGCATCACTTAAACTGCTTTTACAGCCCATCTTTTCACTAAATTCTTAGACTTTTTTAATAATTTGGCACGCTCAAATCACCGTGCTGATAACAAATATAGCGCCAGTTTGTTTATATTGCGCAGATCAGTACAAAAATCTTAGTGATTGCGCAGATCAGTGTTGCCAACATTGGGTGAAAATTTTGTGTGAATTGATTGGACGGTTTCTGAAATATTAGAAAAAAGTTATCTCGATAATAATATATATATATATATTTGGTTTGTTTACTTTTTTATGTTGCTGTGTGTTGATATATTTATGCTTGCTTTTGTATGAGTATATATGCATATACGTATGCGTATATATATGTATGTGTATGTGTATATATGGATATATATGTGTATATGTGTGTATGCGTGTATATATATGTGTGTGTATGTTTGTCTGTAGGTAGACATTTCTGTGTTTGTGTCTGTAGTGATGAATGTGTGTACACATATATCTGTACGTAGTTTTTATTTCACCTACTGTTATATTTTTGTACTCGTGTATGTGCACTAGTGTGTATATAAGTATATATGAAATATATTATATATATATATATATATGTGTGTTTGGAGTTTTCATTTTAATATATTAGATGGTGTTATTTTTATGTGTATATATCTATTTTTCTGTCCATGTCTGTATGTTTTAATGTCCTTTTTTCCCTAATGTTTGTTTTTATCTACGTATATTTGCCCGTATAAGTTATATTTTAATAAGTGGCTAGAATTCGTTTAATAATACTTTCAAACTTGAATATTTCTTGGTAGGTGTATCGGCGTGTCTTTGTCAATGTATGTGTGTGTATGTACGAGACTTTATCAGTATCTGTGTGTATGGTTACTTGTGTGTACCTTTCATTGTGTATGTATGTTGTGTATGTGCGTGTTTTTTTGAGAGTCGCGGAGATATTTCCTGCCTCGTCGCTTTTTTGTGTGTGTATATATCTAAATGCGTCTACGTGTTTATATATTATAATCTGATTGTGTATGTATTGTCGTTTGCAAGATGTCATCCTCCTCTGCCTCTGTTTATGCTTCAAATGTATCTATGTTGTCATGAAATTCAGAGCAACATTTGATCTTAACGTTTGTTCCAACTACATTTCAACAAAAACAAAATAAATAGAATAACATATGTATTTTTTTTCTTTTTTCCTCAGTGATTTTATAATTTTGAACTTAATATAGACTAAATTTGAATTTTAAATTGGGTAATTTTTAATTTGTAATTTCAAATTTTATCGTATAATTTCATATTTATTAGTTAAGAATAAATTCTATTTTAGTCTAACACCAACATTAAAGCATTAAATAATTATTATAACCTTAGTTCGTTGTCGTTTTTTGAATTCTCGTATACTTGTATTTTGATTGGTCATTCCAGCTTATGTAACAGCGCTTCCCCTAACGAGGGATCTTTGATGGATTTGAACCTTTTAAAACCCCTTTTTTTTACATTCAACACCATCACTTGATAAGTCACCAAGAAGTGTTGAAACAAAATGGCTATTTTTGTAGTGATTTTATAACATATTTATGTTATAATTTTCGAATAAATAATTATATTTGCTCCACTCTGTATTGAGCCATCTTTTAAAAAAATATTTTTTGGTTATTGGAATTTATTCCGTATACACCAAACCTATACTTGTATGTATATATATATATATATATATATATATATATATATATATATATATATATATATCATCTATGTAAATTTATATAAAAAGAAAACATAAAGTCATCTTCAGAATTGCTTAAAACTAAATTTTTTTGCCTGCGTTGGAACAAGCAAATGAAATTATACGTGACTATCCAATTTCTGTGAATAACTTTATCCTTAATTTCTGCCATTTTTATTGATTTTTAATGCACTCGCATAATAGAATAATAAAGTTACGATAGCCGCTTAGTGACTTCAATCCATACACTCCGGCCTTCTTCAGGAGATATACGTTAGAATCATGAACCGAGCTCTTTATTTCGTTCACTGGTGTGTCATGCTTTTTTTGGATATCTCAGTTTCAGTTATTTCCCATTTAGTAACCCAGCTCTCCATGTTTTTGTTCACTTCTGTGGCCAGGTATTGAACTCACAACTCTTTGGGTTAAGCCACTGGATTACTTCAACCAATGCTTTTATCCACAGGGTCCAGTGGATTAAAAAACTTAGGTATATAGCTTTCATAAAATTATTATCACGAAATAAATTGTCGGTGTAAAGAATTCATTAAACTTGATACGAACCTAAGAAACATTATACTCTCATGGCATTACAAAATTGGTTAGAAAGGAGTTCGCAAAATTGTATTAATCTCTGATAATATTAAAAAGAATGCTACGAACTGTCACATTGCGGATCAATGTCATTCCATTCACCAGACGCCAAACATATTCTTGTCATAAGACCCGCAAGAATATATCCCTTGTTACAGGAATAGATGGCGTTGGAACCAGTGCTGTTGTCCACGATATGTACTTTTCCGTAACTAGGATGGTTTAAATTCTCACAGTCTGAAACAGAAAGAAATAAGAATGATTGTTTAAATGGAAAGTTTTATTACCAATTTTTGAATAGATTTTTTTTATATATTCTGGTATTTCTTCGCTAAAGTTTCCCGAAAAAAACAATCATTTCGAAAAGGAAAAGGCCTTTTAGTTCTGTCCTGTTCCCATAACTTCTACTGACACCGCCACAATACTTCCTTACCTGTTATGTCAGACATAAACCGTCTGGCTCTGTCCAGTTCTACAAGTGAAAGAGGGCGAAAGCATTCAATGTACTGCTGATGATAAAATTTGGGTACTTCGATTTTTATATTAACCGGTATGTTTATATATATATATATATATGGGTGTGTGTGTGTGTGTGTGTGTGTGTGTGTGTGTGTGTGTGTGTGTGTATGAAAGTGTGTGTATATAAATATAAATAAATACATATATAATTATTTATATTATTATATGCGCGGTACTTATTAGAAAGCGCTCAATATCAGAGATAGAGCTAACATATTTGGTTGGATAGATGTGAGTTTGTGACCCTGGGTTTCACGCTTTTTGCGATCGTCAGACAAACTGATTAATTTTTTTTAAATTTTGGGTTTATGTAGATTGCGTGTATTGGTGTTATTATGGAAGGGGGGAAACGTCGTCGTGATGTCATCGTGCTAACGCAAACATCGATGTATGTTCATACGCCCAATGAAGTACGCAAAGATTGAATAAAAAATTATTTCCCATAAGATGGCCAAAAAATATTAATGCCAATAATTCACACACACGCACATTCCGACAACTAACTTTTAGGGTGATACTGAGTCTGTATATATATTTACTTTGTATTTTTTTTTAATTATTGTATTTTTTTTTTTAGTTTTAGCCGGACATACAAACACACATTGGAATATTTGAATAAATAAATATTAAATTTTTTGTCAAATAATTCTATTTAACATTCTTCTTTTATATTTACTTTGTTGTTTTAATATTCATTTTTTGAAGCTTTTATTTACTACAGATGTGAAAATAAAAATTTTAAGAACACATACATGTATAGCGTTTCGAAAATATCATCAGAATTAAAAACTAAAAACGAACGGTAATAATAATCGGGAATAAGTATTATTACCGTTCGTTTTTACTTTTTAATTCTGAGAATTTCGAATGTATGTTAATTTTAAAATATCTTCGTAAATCATACGATGATAATTCTTTTTACAAATGCTGGCTTAGGTGATAATGAGTCTGTATATATATTTATTTTGTCGTAATTATTGTAGTTTTTTCGTTTTAGCCGGGACACACTCATAGACATCTGCTCTTTATATATGTATAGATATACATAAAACATCTGTTGGTGAGTAATTCCAATTTCTCTGTTTATTACTCGGTCGGTTCATGAAGGACACAGGCGTGTCCGAAACTTCCAAACTTAAAATCTTTCTCTCCGTGGTACTTCATTTCTTAAATAGAAATAATTTCATTAAATAAAAATAATTGTTTTTACGGGAAAGTAAGGACCTACCTACATCAAATTGTCCCTAATTAAGTGGTGGCAGAAGAATTGTCATTGAATGTTGAAAAGGAAACCGCAAAGCTTAAATATTAATGCAATACTTAAATGCAGCGACCAATTTTGAATTATTCTGTAGTTTATTTTTGCCTATTGCATCTACTTCTTTATAGCTATTGTGATGAAGGCCAGGTCTAGAGGCTTATGAGCTAGCTTAAATGCCACCCGATAGAGCGGCTTTTAAGCTAGTTAAGGAGGAGGCACGGTGGAGTAATGGATAGCGGCTTGGGTTGAGGAATCGGAGAACCGAGTTCGAATTCCAGTCGAATCCATTACTTTCACTTACGTCCTTGGGAAAGGTGTGAATCCTCTTTCTTCTCCCTCTCCCTATGGGTAAATAGCAAAACAGACTGGGTTCTATAGCCTTGGATGGCAACTGGTCTAGGAGAAGGAAAACTCTGAATTCAAACCTGCCCTTAGAGGAGGGTGGATGGAGTCTCTCTGAGCCTTGGTTGGCAATCAATTTAGTGTTGGTGTCACGATAAAAACCACCCTTGATAGCCCTAGCGAAGCATCAAGAATTCAGCTATTTGACAAGATTATGAACTACACCAATCAAAGTATTAGCTTTGACAGATAAAGAATACTGGAAAGGTGTAGTGAGTTCAATCTCGACTGAGGCCGCAAAAAGAAGAAGAAGAAGCTAGTTAAGTAATATATTTATTTACATTAATTAATATTAATATATTTACATTAATCAATATCAGTATATTTTCATTTATTTAATATATTTGTTATTTAGTGTGATTGATATGTCATGTGTATTTCATATATTTTTATATTTAGCTTGATTAAGACATTACTATGTATTTGATCTTTTTACATTTTAACGTAATATATTTACAGATGATTCATATATTTTTCTGTTTACCTTGGATATATTTAATTATTTTTCTACTGATATTTTGCGGTGGAAAGCAACTAGGTGTACAATCAAAACGACAAGCAGAGAGAGGACTATAAGAATGTAAATCCATACATACCTTGGCAAAAGACAGAGTCTGTTTTTTTCACTTGCCCATGAATGGAACCTTGGACTGACGGCCAGGCGATGACGTTGCCAATTTTATCGCAATTGATGAACATGTGTTCAATTTCGTTGAGGCTGATGATGCGGTCCCAAAGGTTGAGCTGACCAAGTTGACCAATGAAGGATTCTCTCTGGTTAAAATCACCACCCACGATGTCCTGCTCCTGACCAATCACAAAAGAACCGCCACCTGCAGACAAATGGAAAGTGAAAGTAAAAAAAGATATTTTGCATCCGTCCTCCTCTCTTTCTTTATCACACACACACGCACATACGTACACACACACACACACACACACACACACATAAACATTCAAACATATACATAGGATTTCATCGGTCTAAAGTGATATTTCTTACAACATTTCTTCTTTCTTGTTATATCTTCTGAAATCGCAATGTGGGATATTTAATAACATAAGTGATTAAAACCTAAGCAAAAAGAAAAATAGACTAGATTAAATCGGCTAAATTATAGACACAAAAACACACACACACACACACACACACACACACACACACACATATATATATATATATATATATATCTGTCCAATATATATATGGGGGGGGTTAAACATGTCCAAAAATATCTATAAAATTAAACCCTTTGAATATGACAAACTCATCACTGACAAAATTACCAGCTCTTATAAGAAAGACTAAGACAATACCACCTTATGTTCTATCAATGAAAACATCTGCAAATTTTCTAACAAATGTGAATTTGCTGACAGAATGGGCAAATTTAATATGAAAGATGCATACATTTTATTCAAAGATCATAAACCGAACTTTATCAATAGCTTGCAGTCCCATTTAAATCCGAATTAATTTCTAAGAGCATTCTTAAGAAAATAACACCATGTGTCGTGGATAAATATTCCGTCAACCTTTGGAAGGACTCGGCTGAGACGATTAAATGGTTCCTAAAGATCCCCAATAAAAGGAAAGCTACTTGCATCCAATTTGACATCTTAGATTTTTACCTTTCTATTAATTAACAGCCTTAATTTCGCTAAAAGACATAGCGAAATAACGGAAAATGATCTGGACATTGTTTTAACGTCAAGAAGATCAATACTTACATATAATGACGTTACTTGGGTGAAGAAGAATAATGAAAGTTTCGATGTACCTATGGGAGCTTTCGACTCTACCCAAATTGCAGATTTAGTGGGCATATATATTTTAGACACCATGAGTAGAGTAGTTAACCATAACCAAGTTGGAATTTATAGAGATGACGGCCTAATCATTGTCCCTAATAGCAATGGTGCTTTGACTTCCAGCTTACTTAAGAGGATCATTAGGGCCTTCAAATACCTAGGCCTTAAAATTGTAATATTTTCCAACCTTAAAATAGTCAACTTTATAGATATCACCCTCAACCTCCCTAATGAGACTTTTAAGCCGTTCCATAAAATTGATCATACACCCGTATACATCAATGTCCACTCTAACCACCCGAAATCTGTAATAGATCGCATCTCCAAAACTGTTAATACGAGAATAAATAGGCTATCTTCTAGCCAATAAATCTTTAATGAAAATAAATTTATATACAACCATGCTCTCAAAAATGGTGGTTTTAAACAGGAATTAAACTATAATGAAGAACTAGAAAATCATAGTAATAATAGAACTAAAAACAGAAAGAGGAAAGTAATGTGGTTTAACCCACCGTATTGCAGGCTTTCCAACTTTAATATAGGAAGTTTCTTCCTAAGGTTAATAGACAAGGACTTTCATAGTAAACATCCACTATATAAAATTTTCAATAGGAAGACACTGAAAATTAGTTATTCATGTGTAAGTAACATGGAGAAAATTATATGCTGTTGTGTATGTGTGTATCTACGTATGTGTTTTGGGGCATATAAATAGTAGATCCTTACTAGATTAAGTATTCATTAATTTGTATATGTTTATGTTAAATTTGTAACCTGTAGGTGATATTACTTGCTTTGTCAAATTTTCTTGATTGCACATCGGTTCTCTTATAAATGCCCTTCGGTTTTAGTTTGCCCCTCCTATCTTTCCTCTCTCTCTCTCTCTCTCTCTCTCTCTCTCTCTCTCTCTCTCTCTCTCTCTCTCTCTCTCTTTATCATTTTCTGATTTTAAGTTTAGATCATATGGTTTTTTATTGTGCGTAGTGTCACCACAAATGTATATACACGTTTCCGGTGTCTGTTTTTTTAATTTTAATTTAGGTCAGAGAATCGGTAGCGAATTATGCATCGAAAAATAATTCATATTTATCTCTATCTCACTCATTTAAACCGTTATTTAACTCCTCTCTTTAAATCTTCTCTCTGTTAAATTTTAATCCCCACTTTCACATTTAGGCCTTCCTGTTCCAGTGAAGGAAATTAACAGGAGATAACTGATAACTAACATCTATTACACATGGCACGTAAAACTAGAACAGTTTACCCCAGTGAGTGAAATAAAGGGTTCAGTTTGACATTTCAGCCGCCTGAGAAAGGCCGGAGCGTACAACGGCCGAAACATTGTAGTAAATATGGTGACAAAGATGAGGACAATAGTTCCACCAATGTAAATATATATATATATATATATATATATATATATATATATATATATATATATATATAAGATGCGATGAGTAAATTGTCGCCAATTTATATTTCTAATTTCGGACATACGTGTTGTTTGTTTTTGATTTTGTCGACTACACACCATAGTTGGGTCAGTTGGGCACCGTCTATGAAAAAAGAGCACTGGAACGTAATTCACTCCACCAGAAATTTGGAAACGTTATGCTTGGCATTTCGTCAGAAGTTTCAATAGTGACATTTCAGAGTGTCTGGGTGTCAATCTGAGGACGGTGCGGAGGACATCAAAAGCGGGGGATGATATATCCAATCAACATCATGGTGTTTGAGAAGTCACTAGTGATGGCAATGTTATGCCTCTATTCATCTTTCTACAGGGCCTCAGACTCAACATCAAGTGCATTGAGGAGATACTGCTGCTCTGGGTAAAGATGGTGCTGCTGGAAGAACCTGTGTCTGGCAAAAGGAATCTGCACCATGCGACACAAGCAGGAGAACCCATTAATGGATGTCAGACCATTTCTGCGACAACATCACCCCTTACATCTGGCCACCTAACTCCCCAGACTACACCCCCCTTGATAATTATGTGTGGGGCGCAGATGAGCGAGAGACCAACGAAATTCCTTGTAACATCAAAGCTGAACTGAAGGCAAGAATTACGGCAGCACTCACCAACTTAAACAAGGAGACCGTCCAGATGAATTGCAGGAGATTCCGAAGTCGTCTGGAGGCAGTGGTTGAAGCCAATGGCGATTTTATTGAATAAATATATTGTTTAGTATTTCAAGATATCTTTGTGTAATTTTGGTGAATACATCTGTTAAAATGAGATGTCAGTGTTATTTTAATTTTTGCGTAATTTAGACGACAATTTATCCATTGCATTATATATATGTATGTGTGTGTGTGTATGCGTATATTATGAAAAAGACAAAGTCCGACAATTATTTTAAGACATTTTTATGTTTATACATTCTTTTTATAGATACAAATATTTAAGTAAACGTTCTGCTTATAATAAACAGTATTAAACAACATTTACCGGCCTGATTGTCCGAGAAATTTTCATAGAAAATATTCGTCCTCCGACAGGAATCGAACCTGTATCCTATACGGAACCGTCATATAGCCTGACGTGCCTTTAACCGATTTGGCCACAGAGGAGCGTTCGGTTAGCATGGTCGAATTTACTGTATTTGAACTTCAATCTTCCATGAATCTCTCACGTACATTCATATCTGCTCAAAAGGTATCCATATGTAAACAAATGACGTCACACATTATGAAATGGACAAATTCCGACAATTATTTTAAGACATTTTTATTATAAACAGACAATTTACTTAAATATTTGTATCTATAAAAAGAATGTATAAACATAAAAATGTCCTAATATATATATATATATATATATATATGTGTGTGTGTGTGTGTGCGTGTGTGTGTGTGTGTGCTAGGATTTACTACATTTATACAGGTAGAATGCTCAATATCTGAGAATTATCCTTTATAAATATAGATTATGTGGACATCAGAATCAAGCTTTGCTTGTAGAGTGTCAACTTCACACTATCTTCAACTTCGAATCGTGAAACTGACAGTTACCATCTACTGTTGATTCCTGTGTCCACAATCTTCTTTTTAATCATTTCACACACACACCCAACAAAAAGATAATGACGAAAGACAAAAGGTATATTACATGAAAATGATAATAGCGAATAATTATTTTGTCAATATATAAGATTTTAGGGTCAGTGGTTTGTTTTTCATTGAGATCTTTCTTTTCACTACGTTAGCGCTTTATTGCGCAATTATAGATAGATAGATAGATAGATAGATAGATATGAACAAGCATAGATAGATAGATAGATGTGAACAGAATGAGATTAACAATAATCGACGTAGAGTTCTTACCTGGTATGACGCCATTGCTGACCAAATTAAGTCCGTTGGCTCTCAACACACTGTCTAAGTAAATATTCCACATTCCATTGTCGTTGGTCCAAGTTACCACAATATGGTGCCAAAGGCCATCATTGGCTACGATGTCTGTGTTGATGTTTTTGCCGTTAATGTAGAGAATAAACCTGCCAAGAGTAAACCACGAAACTCTTCAGCGTTACTTATTTCTTCATCTACATATTTATATCAAACATACGTAAAGTCTCAAGCTCCAAATTAAAGTCTGACTGTGTTTAATATCCAAGACCGGTTCAATCTATGGCCTACGGTGCCAAGTGTTGAATAGCCTCTTTTGCTGGCGAGCTTTTGGGCGACGAAGTCGATTCACTCATACTGTATCCTTCTTTCACGTCCGGTGATTGCCAGTTGTTTTGGTTCGGAGATAAAGGAGAATTTCAACACAGGGAATTTTAACTTAGCTATTTTATTCACGTCAATATATACATCTCTACCTCTCCAGTAAGGTTGCTCTCCCTTCACTGGGAAGGAGAGCTTTCAGACACGAAGAGGAAACACGTTTACATTGTTTGACAAAAAAAAAAACTTTCACTATCCATCATTTCCACGCTAGTTCAGCCAATCAGAATCGACTTCATTTATTTTGTCTTATATCTGACTTCAAAGGCCAACCACAGGAAGTTCAAACAGAGATACACTTCTCTAAAAAAACTGCTAAACTATTATTTAACATTCGTGACATTTCTTAGAACAGTGACCATTTTCTTTCTAAAAAGCATGCAGTGTTAGTTCATATTAGCAACAAGGAGTAAAAACCGACCTATGATTTGAAAATACACTGATTTCTGTTGTGCTCTCCACAATTCTGAATTCAGATTAGTCCTTTTCCTAGACTAGCTACCACTCAAGGCCAGAGAGCCCATATCTATATAACACATAGAGTAGAGGAAAAGAAATGTATTCCTGCCTTTTCCAAGATCATAGTACATAGGGAACACGTAGTAGTGTAGACGGGAATTTGAACTCGGCTCTCTGTTTCTGGCTTTATAACTGTCTGTCGCCCTGCCAAAATACATATGATACAATAGGTACCTCCACTAATTTTCGATACCTAATGTTTAAAATTAATTTTAAAAACTGAAAAAAATCATTCTTGAAGCTTTCACGTTAGTTTTAATTGAAAGCTAAGAGATTAAATTTACTATTTCCAGTAAGCAAAATACTTTGGTATATTTCAACTAGAAATTATATTGATTGGAATCTCAACTTTTTGCTCGCTTTCAGTAAAATCATTAAGATCGGCGATTTTTGACACACTTTGACACATTTGTAAACAAAAGTTAATTTTCGGTTTTAAAAACCGTCCAAAAATATAATATACTTTCTGAAACTTTATTAGATGAATATTAGCTGATTTAAAGTATAATTAATCTAATTTGAAACAAATACTATTTGCTTTAATTTGAAAATAACAGAAATGGAGTTTTAAAACAAAAAGTAACGGAGATTTACATGCTTTTCATCGCTTGTCAATCACTTAACAGGCACTCGTAAGGTGTTGATATGTTTATATTGTTCTACGGAGACTTTATCTGTTAAAACATAATTTAAGAAAATGACGGTTGAGTGCCTTTTTTATATAATTTCACGTACTCAGTAATCTTAAAGATTTTGGAAAATATTCTCCGTAATCTAATGTTAGAAATGTTGACTTTAAATTTAATATAGTCGTCACTCTTATGTTCTGATAATGTCGTATATGGCCGACCATAATTTCAAAATGGGCACGTTACGCAATATTTTATATACATAAAAAAATTTTTAAATTGTTTAAAAAATCTTGGTGCAAAATGATTTGTATTAAGCTTTTCAATTTTTGATTAGTAAGTATAGTTTTCACTTATCATCTAAAAGGCGGAAATTAATACAGAATTTTAAAAGAGTTAAAACTTTATAAATTATTATAATTACAATTTTTAATAAATGAAAACAATTCTTGTAAAAATTCATTTTTCATCTAAAAAGTTTTTTAACAGAATATTGTCCATAAGAAATCTTATTTATAAAAGCAATTAAAAGCTTTTGTAATTAAATAATGTCATAATTTTATTGCATTTTTTATTTTACGATTTGGAGCAGATTTTCGGGAAATGAGTAGTGGCTTGAAAAAGAAATTATTCATTTACGTTCTCCAGGGAGTCTTGCTTTTAACCAATAAAAAATTTTCAATTTTTTTTTTTTTTTTTTGAAGAAAATTTAATTTTTCGAAATTTCATGAAATTAAGTGGCGATAACATATGTACAAAAAATACATTTTTATCAAGATTTTCTAAAGAAAGACATTTCAAAAATAATTTCATTCATCTATTAATATGTCCTGAAAGTTTTTTGTTTTGTTTTTAATCCGACAATTATTTGATTTTTGCAAGAATTTCCAAATCAATGTGTTTTTTACCGCGAAAAAAACCGCAGAAACTTTAATTGTAAATGTTACGTCAACCGCTGACGCAAAGAAAAAGATTTTTAATAAAAATTTCGAACATGATAGAAAAGATTAAAAAATTTAATAAGATAATAAAAAAATTATTTGATCTTTCCTCTTAATAATAACATAAATATTTTGACGATAAAACTTTAATTAAGTTTTGGACCTTTTTTCATCATGCTTTTCCTTAAAATTTCCTCGTTGCTCACATGCTGTTTTTATTTATTTTTTTCAGCGAAAAAGTGGAGGTACCTACGCTACAGCCATGGAAGTATTAGTGAGTTCGCTATTAACTGCGGTGCGGGCTTGTGGGCGCTATGACTTGAGGGATAGATGTTTTAGGTAGATGGAAAAATGCAACCCGAATGCAAAAGAAATTACAACACGTTTTGTAACACGTTTAATTATCATCTCTCAATTGCGTCTCTGTCTTTGGGCAGAGTGCGGTCAGGGACGGCTCCGTCAAAGGAGAGAGTCGCAAATGAGGAAAATTATACTGAGAAGGGCCTAGGCCTGTGGAACAGCTGCCCGAGGCTGTGTCCTCTCATTGCACCAGAGAAGAATCGATGGTGGTACGGAGCCTAGCGCAACCGACGGGTGCGGGGGCTCTGGCAATTTTTATTCCTAGCCCGGGTGTATGCGCTAGGGCTCCCCACATTAAACCGACCTTGTGTCACAACCTGACCTCGTGGAGAGTTGATTGAATACAAATTACAATTTATAGTGAAGATTTCTGTGACAAATAAATGTGGCGCTCGTTCTTTGTGAAGTTTGGTATTGGAGATGTCTCACTAAGTGATACATTCCATTAGGTTTTAAAATTCCTACATCCTCACTGGATACCGCTTGATGTTTGTGTCAAAGTTAACTTCCTTCAATAGTCATATATAAAGAAGCATCAGGCCTTGAGCAACAATTAATCAGGTAGTCCTACTGACCAATACTTGGCCTCACGATGTTATCTATACTTATATCCTTGTTCTTGACTTCGTCATAATCTTTGAACATTATTTTGTTCTTTTTTTCTTTTCTGGGTGTGGGTGATTATGGCTGTCCACAACTTCCTATCCTTTCTAATTCTTAGAAATATATGTCTTTTTACTATTATTCTATCTGACTCTTCTGAGATCGATTTACACACGCTTAGTTGGTAGGTTACTCTATGTCCCCGTATGTTTCTCTTGCCCTTCGTGTGTCAAATTCTCCAAGCTTCCTTTCCTCATTATGGATTCCAGAAATTTCTACTGTCTAATTCTAAGCATAAGTATCTTTTTTGTTTCCATTTTCCTTAAAATTTCCTCGTTGCTCACATGCTCCATCCATGTTTTTCTCAGCATCATTCTGTAGAGCCACATTATTGCTACCTCAAGTCTCTTCTTCATCTGTGAAGAAATTTCCAGCTTTCACTGCTATGTAGGAAGATTGATATTACATAGCAGTTCAGCAGCCTTTTCCTTTTGTTTCTAACGAAATTTTCCTCTTTCTTAATTCATTGTTCAGCTTGAGATTAATTTTAATAATGTTATGGTCCGGTTCCTTGTACCATGGTGATAGTCCAAGGTAGACCCAATAAAGAAGAACTCGAAGGCGGATATGGAATAACGCAGATATATTACAAACAGGAATATATACAGAGAGGTAGAAAAGTGTTAGTACGAGCAATCAGATTTAGGAGTAATTGTCTGAACGCGACTCTGTTTCGGACTGCCTCTGACTCGACTAACTGACTCGCTCGCTCTGACTGACAGACTCCTGACGGACTTCACTCCAGACTTCAGACTGAACTCTAGACTTCAGACGGAACTCCAGACTTCAGACGGAACAGTATTTAGTCACCCCCCACGAGGGCATCATGTGGCACAAGGCCGGTTTAACGTGGGATCTCCGAGCCCGTGGGCTTGGCCAAAAATATGCCCTTTTACCTCCACGAAAGAGACTCCGCCCTTCGGCGTAGCCTCGTTCGGGTTCCTCCCCGCCCGAAGGTAGAGAGTTCAACCGATCAGCCGGTCAGCCGGTCAGCCGGTCGTCCGACTTCGGACTGAACTCCCTGCTTCCTCTTGAGGCGCAGTATTTATTACGTATGGAATAGTCCATTATGTTATTATGGGTAAGGTCCCATAACAAATACCCAAGGACATTTAATGTTGAGCAATGGTATACGAGCTGCTGAAATTAATTTCATCCTTATTGGATGTCCACCTATCGTATCATTAGGCCATATAAGGCTAAACTGAATAAATAATTACTAGCAGTACTTGTAAAAATTCTGGAGTTTTCTATTTGAATTTTCTGATAAAACATAATTTCAAATTTAATGATTGAATAAGATTTACGCTACTACAATATATCCTTAGAAATTCGCCTTCCTCTATTTGCTGTGTCCCTTCCGGATTTTGGTGATCACGGCTCTCCACAAAATCCTGACCTTTTTAGCTCTTAATAGATTTTGTCTTTTGGCTATCTCTCTCAAACCCTGCTCCGCCACCCATTCACTCAACCTCAACAGGTAAGTTATGCGTTGTTTTCCTCTGTCCCCTGTTACCTTCAATTTGTCCTGTAAGTATCAAGTTTTCTATGCTCTCTTTCCTCGTTAATTTGCTAGTAACCTATAGAGGTTGTTATGCCACTAAACAAACAACCAACATGAAAGAACTTTTTCATGACATTAATCCATATAGTATCCTACAATTTCCTAAAGAACCCAAAAGGTATTCTAAAGTATACCTTCAACAAAACTACAACATAAAACACAGACATCACCGCCTCTTTATGATGTCCACATAAACTTGTATATGAACAAGAGCTGAATGCCAACTACCATGTATTCAGTTGTGAAAGCAGACTAACATGTATCCTAATTTTATTATTTCAAAACTCACCTCCAAAATTAAATTTCGGCATTAAATGACCCAGCTTATTATTGTGTATGCTTTATTTCCTCATTATCTTTTCTGTCTATCCTCCTTATCCTCATAATATTCATTTCCTTCTGCCTTCGCTTACATTCGTATTATGCACCTCATTCAGTAAGCCTAGATTGGCTCTTGCTCCTTGTATTTGGTGAATTTTAGTATATAAACATATAGTTTTCCTACCATCTTTCCTTTGCAATCAAAACGGAATAGTCCATTATTTATCTGACGTAATGGCAGGGCTTAACGCGCTTGCTAACGGACTCACTAGCTAAAGAAGGAACCAGCTGATAAAATGATAATATAAGGATAATGTGCCAAAAGAACTCACCCATTATAATCCGTAAATACAATGGCGTTGTCATTTCCAGGAGTGGCGTATGAGACAACTGTCCCGTAATTATCTGAGTCTAAAGATTTCATCCAGAAAGACAGAGAAAAAGATGTGAGTGGTTTGTCAATTTTCAGGGCAGCGTAATTTGTCGTACTGGGGGCATCAAACTGGATAACGAAGCTGGAATCCAATTCTGAAAAATTTTTTTAAAAAAAATCAAATAAAAAACAACATAATTCTTTGATGTATTAAACAACATCGTCCCTCTCTTTAAATTATAGAACCCTTCAAGGTATTGAAAACGTAGCTTTTCTTTTCTTTATTAATTGCCCTAACGTTTTGGGAGGAGAGGGATAGTGGAATGGTTTTCCAGTTGCCTTCATCACGATGTTGAATTCAGAAAGAGACCATCTTGATTGAATGATACCCAAGCCCGGCGAGTCCATCCTACCCTATCTAACCCCTCAATATCTCATGAATGTTTCTTTCAAATATATATATATAAGTGGACATTAAAGTTAACAAACGGAGACTACCTGTCAGGCAATGTTCGTTGTGGTTTTGCTAGACTTTATATATATATATATATATATATATATATATATATATATATATATATATATATAGGTCAGTAATACATTTGGATATTCTATTGCATTATGGGTAGTCTATTGTATTATTCTAACATTTATTTTGGTGGGCGTGGTTTGTTAATTTAATTTGTTTATTTACTTATTTGTTTGGATTAATTCATTTTCCTTGTTTTTGTTTATTTATTTTATTTTACTTATTTATTTTCATTTATTCTTGTTTGTTTTCAGTTTTCCATTATTTACTAACGTAGTAAAAATTTGTTTTCGTGTCTGCTTTTTTATATGATTTCTGACCGTTTATTTCATAGTTTCTTTTGGTCTGGGAAGGTAATTATAGCTTTTTCTTCTCCAGGCAGAGTTTACAGTTTTTGGATTGATTGTTGTAGTCTGATGTTTTTTCTTTATTTTCATATTTTTGGTGTGATTTTTTTTGTTTTTAATTTCCCATATATGTTTAGAAAGCCTTGTGCTGTTTGCGTATTTACTATTCTTAAAGGATGTTTTCTGTGCGTAATTTCTTTTTTTTCCAGGGTTCTTCAGTCATTCCTATGTATATTATTCTTTACAGTGGCTTGGTCTCTGCTTCTTGCTGAAAATCAAATGTCGAATTGAACCCTTTATTTCGCTCACTGGGGTAGACTGTTCTAGTTCCATGTGCCATGTCTAATAGATATCAGTTATCTCCTGTTAATTCCCCTCTCTAAGTTCTCCACTGCCTTACCAGGTATTAAACTTACACTCTTTGGGGTCTCTCACTGGATCTAACTAACGCCTTTTTCCACTGTGCCATATGTCCTTGGGGTTCAGTTCCACATTCCAACTACCTGAAGAAGCCCGGAGCGTACAACGGCCGAAACTTTGTAATAAATATGGCGACAAAGATGAGGACGAATAATGTAAATAGTGTACATAATACCTAATATCAGAAATATAGACAGATAGCTTAATCTAACTGGTCAATCCCACCCACACTACCATAGTATTTCACCCTTTCATAGTTCACCGTATAAATATCAATATTTCACTCCTCTTGAATGGTGGTTGAGTGAGCACTTATTCCCCTTCCCTCCGCCACACAGACATGTGTCTTGGATGTTGCGCATGCGTGGTTGTAGCACTTATTACTATCTCCCTCCAGTTTCAAATAAACCCGGACAATTAATCATTGGGGAGAAAAATATACTCACGATATCCTTATTTCAAACAAACTCTTTTATTAAATAATCAGATATTTTATTTATACTCCTTAACTTAGGCTGAATGAATTCTAGAACAAAGCGTTTCATTTGAATATTTAATAAAAGGGGTATTTGGAATAAGGGTGTCTCGGGTGGATTTTTCTCCAAAAAAGAATAATCGTTTCAAACGGTAACCAAAAAAAAAAAAAAGGTCCGAGTGATATTCTAGGGCTTTTTCCACATTAATCTGTTGCGTCAGCTTTACGTAACGCTTAAACTCGTGTATAAGACGACTTCAAGAATCTTGCGACCACTGAATTTTTTTTGCATGAATTTTAACACCACCAGAAAAAATATCTGCGTATAGTGCAACTGGCCACCGAAAATGCATTTTTTAACTTCTTCAAAAAAAATTAGCTGTGCGACTCCCTAATTTTTGATTAAAAAAAGCAGATCCGAAAAACTCGCACGATACTCGAGTATACACGGTATTTGAAAATGTCCATTTTCTGTGATTTCTGCGTCCTTTGTCTGCGACCTGTAATGGACTGCAAAAACAGCTAGTTCTCGAAATAAATAGTATATAAGATTCAAAGATATATATATACCCGTTTCGCAATCTTTTCCAGTGAATTGCGGGTGACATCGGCACGTGTATCCATTAATCTTGTTCTCACAAGTGCCTGCATTTAAACAGGGCGATTTAAGACATTCTTTTACTTCTTGTTCACATTTCTTCCCAACAAATCCAGGGAGGCAGGAACAGCTGTAAACGATAGGAAAAAATGTTTTACTTTCGACCAAAATGAATATCACAATAAATGAAGATTTTTTTTCTACTTTTAAATAAACTCCCCATAAAACGGAATAAATGTTACATTGTTTGAAAAGTAGTTTTTGAATGAAGGAATTTAAAAATGTTTCAATGGGGGTAAAATTAAATTTATTTGTAGGTAATATATGTATTATCAGTATGCGTCCTGGGTATGATTATAAAATACCCCCATCAACAAGGCCTCTAATGAGGATATTCTGAGGAGCGTCGAACCATCTCTCAATTGCTGTTGTACTCAGGTTCCCCCTAACCTATGGTGGTAACACCTGTTAGGGTCCCAGATATGGGCAAATAGTTAACCCTCAAACTGGGATCAAAACACTATGAAAGCGTAAAAATATCTTTTTATAGTAAAAATTAATACCTGCTATACATTTTTGAGAAAAAATATTACCAGCAATACATTTTTGAAAGAAAAAATATTACCAGCAATACATTTTTTGAAAAAAAAATATTACCGGCAATACATTTAATTCTCGACAAAAACCCTCTTTACAAAAATAGGAAGTGTTCGGTTCGAAATTCTAACGCATATCCCCTGAAGAAGGCCGGAGCGTAAAACGGACGAAACGTCGTGAATATGACAATAAAGATGAGTACAACAGTCCGAACAATGTAAATAGTGTAAATAGTTACAAGTCCTTATCTCAGAAATTTAGATTTACTTTCATATATGGAGTTTTATTGAAATTCTAATCATCATTTTTTTAAGGGTGTCAATAGTGTATACAATAATAGTGGTGTCAAGGGAATAGACGTCCTTTTGACACAGCGTTTCTTTGCAGACACGAAGGTTAATCATTGTCTTGCTTTCTTTTTGAATGACAATTACACTCTTCAGATTCACTTATATTTTATGGAAAAATTTAAAAGAGGTTTGATAATTTTATCATCCCATGGGACCTCGGATTAAATCAGTGATCCAGACTAATAACTAATAAAGAGTTTTCTTGTTTTGTTTTTGTTTTTATTTTTTTGTTTCTGTTTTTTTTTTTTTTTTTTTTTTTTTGCATTTAAACATTAAATAGCTTCTTTTTTTGCATTTAAATGTTAAATAGCTTCTTTTTTGAATTTAAACATTAAATAGCTTCATTTTTTGCATTTAAATGCTAAATAGCTTCATTTTTTGCATTTAAACGTTAAATAGCTTCATTTTTTTGCATTTAAACGTTAAATAGCTTCTTTTTTTTGCATTTAAACGTTAAATAGCTTCTTTTTTGCATTTAAACGTTAAATAGCTTCTTTTTTTGCATTTAAATGCTAAAAATATCTTCTTTTTTGCATTTAAACTTCAAATAGCTTCATTTTTTGCATTTAAACGTTAAATAGCTTCTTTTTTGCATTTAAACGTTAAATAGCTTCTTTTTTGTTTTGATTAAATAAACATCTAGTTATTTATTTTGAGCAACGGAAAAATTTCGTTAGAAACAAAAATATTGCTAAATTGCTACATGATATCCATCCTCTTATATGGCAGTGAATACTGGACAATCTCTCCACGGATGAGAACCGTGGGCAGAATGAATATGGTTCTACAGAAACACACTGAAAATTCTATGGGCGGATCGAGCAACTTAAAGAATACTGGAAAAGATAGCTGAAATTCTTTGGACAAATAATGAGGAAAGATGGCTTGGAAAGCGTAACCTTGACGGGAGATATTAAGGACAAGAGAGATAGGGGAGGACAGCGAGCCACTTACCTGAAGAGCTTGTGTGAATCGATGGCGGAACGAGGTTTGGGGGCCTTGGCAAAGGGAGAAAAAACTGCTAAGAGCCACATGAGATTGGAAGTTGTGGAGAGTCATAATCGCCTACGTCCTAGCAAATATTTGAGAACCTTATCAATATTTATACTTACTTGTATGCATTGTCTTCGTCGTGACAGGTGCCGTTGTTCTGACATGGTACAGTGGCGCACTCGTCAATGTTGATCTCACAGCTGGCACCTTCATAGCCGCCTTTACAAGTGCACGAGTAACGGCCAATGAAGTCGATGCAAGTTCCACCATTCAGGCAGGGCTGCGAGGCGCATTCGTCGATGTTTTCCTCGCAGGCGGCACCTGACTTGTTAAACAACAGACGTGTTGGATGAATTGGATTTAAAAAAGACGGAGTCCTTATAAAGGACACATGAAATGTTTATTTATCACATACAGATGAAAAAAAAAAGGTAAGTGTTACTCGTAAGGGCTTTTTCTCACTTTTATATAAGTGTGTCAGTAGAAAAAAAAACAGCCTCTTTGGCACAGAAGATCCGCACCACACTTCTTATTCATTTTAAATAAAAAGATCGAGAGAGTATGTTTTCAATTTATACCAGCGTATCATCCGATTTACTTACTTTTGGCGATCACAGTAAATAAGGAACAATTAAAATACAAAGAGACTCATGAAATAAGTCACAGGAAACAATATATATATATATATATATATATATATATATATTATAAATTGATTTATTTAAAATATGTTTTTTCGCTACACAGTTCTAACCATGTTTCAAAAATGGAAGCTAAAAGCTACGTATTTAATTTCGTAATTAAATTAAAGACATTCGCTTGAGGATGAAATGGAACTAATGTCTTAGAACTGTGTAGCGAAAAAAAAACATATTTTAAATAAATCAATTTATAATATTAATGCTCTGTAAATTTACATTGAGCACTATTTTGTAAAAGTAAAAATATCTATAAGAACACCGGATTATATATCTTACTGTTCTTTCTTTTTATTTATATATACATACATATATATATATATATATATATATATATATATAGAGAGAGAGAGAGAGAGAGAGAGCATGTCTCTCACTTCCCGTCTGTGGAACTCCTTCCTCTTACTCGCTTCCCTCATAGCTATAATCTCCAAATATTCAAATGCAATGTCAATCGATTTCTCCAGATGCCTTGATCTTGTTCCCCGTCCTTCTTTTCATCCTTTCCTCTATCACGCCTCTTTACTCTTTCTCCCACTCTCTGTAACCCCTTGCTTGCTAGTATCACTCCCGCCTTGCTTGGGGTGAAATGCTTATATATATATATATATATATATATATATAAAGAAATATTAAGGTATGCTGGACTAAACCCGACAATTATTTTAATATATTTCCTATTTGTATGTTATTTTTATAAATACAAATATTTACGTAAATGCTTTGTTTATAATAAACAGTATTAACTACATTTACCGACTTGAATTTCCGAGAAATTTCATAGAAAATATGTGTCCTTTGCTAACCAGATGCTTCCTCTGTAGCACAATGTTATTGTACGTCAGGACAAATGACAGTTCCGTGTAGGATACAGGTTCGATTCCTATCGGAGGACACATATTTTTCTATGAAATTTATCGGACATTCAAGCCGGTAAATGTAGTTAATACTTTTTATTATAAACAAAGCATTTACTTAAATATCCATGTCAATAAAAACAACGTATAGATAGAAAATATATTAAAATAATTGTCGGACTTTGTCCATTTCATAATACGCTTTGAGCAGATATGATCGTTCGAGGAAAATCATCGGAAATTTGTTGTTTAAAAACAATAATTTGACTTTGCTAACCAGAATTTTCCTCTGTAGCTAAATGTTATAGCGAGACAGGCCAAATTACGGCTCCGTGTGGGATACAGGTTCCTATCGGAGAACACATATTTTCTATGAAATTTCTCGGCCATTCAGGCCTGTAGATTTAGTTAATACTGTTTATTGTAAACAGAGCATTTATTTAAATATTCGTATCTATAAAATTATAAACAGAATATATATATATATATATATATATATATATATATATATATATATATAGAGAGAGAGAGAGAGAGAGAGAGAGAGAGAGAGTTCGATGGAAATATAACAGAGCTATTAAGTATATATAGATTAATATCTATATATACAAAATCAAAAACACCGCGCGTGCGCAAAATTAGAATTATAAAATGGCGACAGTTTACCCATCGCATTCTTTATACTACACAGAACAAATACAATACATTTGAGGTCTACAATCATACAAACTCAATAGACGGAGCACCTCGACATGGTGTAATGGTTAGCAAGCTTGTCTTGCTAAATCAATTACGCCCTGGCGCCCCATGCTTCCGGCCTTGTGTCACATCTAAGCTACGCTTAGAAAATCACTATAAAAACTCAATAGATGTCAACTAAGAAGTACGAAATAACTTAACGACACTAACCTTCAAAACCGTTTGGACAAATGCAACGAAATGCTTCCGGTGTGTCCACGCATCTGGCGCCATTTTGACAAGGATTTGAAAAGCACCCATCCAAATCAATTTCACATTTTTTGCCTGAAAATAATGCCAACGTTAAGATGTTAGAGACTTACATTTAGATTAAATATAAATGTCAATTAAATTACACAAATTTTACTCTGAGGCAGACGTATTGATAAGCGTAGGGAATTAGTTAAAAAAAATGGCTGTTCATCTCGACTCAGAACAAAAAAAAACTGTCATACATTTTGTTTTGGGGCTCAAAATTTCGGCTGGTCTTTTTTTTTTTCAGCCTTCTTCACGTGAGATTGGTGAGACTGAAGAGAAAAATCTTAACTCCAGTTTCAGTATTTCGGCTAGTTATTTTTTTCAGCCCTTGTCACGTGTGATTGGTGAGACAGGTGAAAAATCTCTTAACTCCAGAATCAGTAATTCGGCTGACCATTTTCAGCCTCCTTCGCGTGATATTCGTGATACTGAAGAGAAAACTCTTAACTCCAGTTTCAGTATTTCGGCTGATGATTTTTCAGCCCTTGTCACGTGTGAATCGTGAGACAGAAGAGAATTCTCTTAGCTACAGTTTCAGTATTTCGGTTGGCCATTTTTCAGCCGTCTTCACGTGAGATTCGTGAATCTGATGCAAAACTCTTAACTCCAGTTTCAGCATACAGGGTGCGATGGATAAATTGTCGTCTAAATTATGCAAAAATGGAAATGAAACTGTCATCTCATTTTAACAGATATATTTACCAAAATTACACAAAAATTATCCTGAAATACTAAAGAGTAAATTAATTCAATAACATCGCTATTAGCTTCACCCACGGCCTCTGGAAACTTAGGAATCCCCTGCAACTCCTCTGAACGATCTCCTTGTTTAAGTTGGTGAATTCTGCCATAATTCTTCCCTTCAGTTTATCTTTGGTCTTACAAGGAGTTTTGTTGGTCTCTGTGCGAATGCCAAGCAGTACAACATGTCGTTTCTAAATTTATGGCGGAGTCAATTACGTCATGGTGCTCTTTTTTTCTCACAGGCCTTGCCCAACTGACCCTACTATACTGTACAGTCGATCAAATCAAAAACAAACAACGCGCATGCGCGAAATTATAAATATAAAATTGCGACAATTTACCCATCGCACGCTGTACATAAGCTGTCCTTTAAACGTGATTTATCGTATTTAGTCACTGAAATTAAACGAAAGCGATTTATTTTAATTACAATTCAAGTTTTTCCACATCATTAAAGACAAATGCCAAAAGCAGAGTCCGTTATGATATATTTACATGTTTTTATTAATCTACAACGAAAGAAATAATTTTATACTAACCTGAGTATCCAATTGGGCAGATGCATGCGTACGTATCCTTCTTAGTTAAACAAGTTCCACCATTCAGACAAGGTTTTGCCTTGCAACTGTTTACAATCAGTTCACATTTAGATCCTGTTTAAAAATATGTTGATGATAATAAGAATTGTGCTATATATTGGAATTAACATTTTTTATTATCATTTTTTACTGCTTTTGAAAAAATCAGACCATATATAAAAATGTATATTTATTTATATATTTCCTGTCCCATCTCTAGTGGAAAGGGAGATAAATCAACTTAATTTAGTAAATTTATGAGTGATTAGTTCCCTTGTAATAATCTATACAAATAAAACATTTGATATGGCCCGGTTCCTTGTACCACGGTGATAGTCCAAGGTAGAACCAATAAAGAAGAACTAGAACACGGATATGGAATAACACAGATATATTACAAACAGGAATATATACAGAGAAGTAGAAGGTGTTAGTACGAACAATCAGGTTTAGTAGAGAGAACAATATAGTCTCGACCAGTATCACTATTCCAATGTCTTGCAGTAATTGTCTGAACGCGACTGTTTCGGACTGCCTCTGACTCGACTCTTGACTCAACTTGAACTACTGACTCGAACTACCGACTCCTTGCCTACTCACGAGGCGCAGTATTTATTAAGTATGGAATAGTCCATTATTATTATTTTCATAGGTAAGATTCCATAACAACATTTATCTGCATTTAGACAAAATTACTTCCCGAGAATTATGAACTGTCATCCGCTTGAGGACAGTCAATGTTTTCAGTATCTTTATAAACATCGTTATCAGCATCGATATTCGACTAATCTTCACCCATTGACTTACCTCCCTTTCCACTAGTGATGGGACAGGAAATATATAAATAAATATACATTGATGGATGGTTTGATTATTTCACAATGAGAGGAGGTACAGACGCGGCGTTAGAATCCCAGGGATACCTCATTTATTTGTTGTGTCCTATTCGAAGACGGGAAAACAATTGTGAGATAAAATATAGTTTGGCCGAAGGCAGATACAACATTTTGATCGCAGCCGGATGTGCAGGGAGTGAAAAGAGGTCAAGTAGCACTGAATCCTCGTTCAATAAATACTGCGTGTTTCGATATAAGAATATTAGAGATCAGGAAGACATTTTGATCCCAGTTCGATGGCCAGAGAGTGACTCGTAACTCGAGTAGCACTGGCTGCTCGCTCAATGAATATCGAATTTTTTTTATAAGGAAACAGCTAATATTACCTTTCAAGATTTCACGAGTTGGCTTCACTCATGATAAAATCTATTGCTAGATTAAGAAAAACGAATATCAAATTCCCTCCAGATATCTCGCCAGCCGACTGAGGACGATCATTGCTTTCCTTGACCACTCCAAGTTTTATCTTGTTATTCTTTAATCATCTGCCACCGGCATATTTTGGGGTATCAACGAAATATCTCGCCAGCCGATTGAGGACAGTCTCGTTTT